ATAGAACATCCCCTACCGATTGGAAGTAGCTGACCATCCTACTGCGAATAGCCACATTGAGACCTCCATGAATAATCTAATGATGGTAAACGAGAGACCGCTGCTGTCCACAAGAGGCACTGCTCACCCCACACGAGCCCAACCCACGGCGCTCGATCTCTTCCTTTGTTATCTCTAACAAGGACGTGAACTGGGAGAAAATCAAACTGAAAGGGCACGAGGTCTGCCAGGTGTGCCTAGTTATATCGCTTGCTTACAACTTATTGGTCGCATCCTCATTCAGCATAGACTGGACAGTATCCAACACGACCTTCACCTTACTAGACTCCAACACTTTTCTCGATGGGATTCTTCCCATGATAGTATTCTTCCGAACAAGTCGTGGCGACTCGAGAAAAGTGGCCATACTGTTGGAGTCGCTGAGAGAGCTCTCGGTGACCAAACGTGAAATCGCGACCTGACAAGAGACGGAAAGTTACACTATGACTACGCCAGATTTGGGGGACTGCGTACAGCTACTGCATTCATGAATCATTGCTGAATGATTTAGCAGTAATTTCTAAGCAACTGTGGTTTTGCCTAAATCGCACATAAACATTCTTCCAACTTTTGTTCCCAATGTGAAGGCTGATCGCACTATTTAGGATAAAACTTGTGCGAAATTCGGGAAAGTGATACCGGGGACATTCCAATGACAATTGACTTCGTGATCCGAAGGTGAGAAGATATACTTACCGTGCCCATGGTCATCTCAACTTCCTGTAGACATGCCGGGCATTCCACGGTGTCAGCGGCAGCGCGATCTCCCACCGACTGACGTATACACTCACTGAAATGGGAAGAACAGCCAAATCCATCCACGCGTCTAAGCTCGAGAAGTTACCTCAATGTTTCATGACGTACAACAGTCTAGGTAACCCCGATCGTTCCGACTTACTTATGGAAATGATCTCCACAACTTCCCCTCGCCATGGCTTCTCCCTCTGCTAGGGGCCTCTGCGGTATTTCATCGTGACAGATCATCTAACACAAAGATACATCAATACCAGTATTCGAAGGCTCAGAGCGATGTTCGAAGAATAGTGAGTTTAGGGATGTTCCAATAGGGCATTGGTACGATCAGCAAATTGTTAGGGCGGAGGCTTCACAAATTGGTTAGCAATAGGATAGCTGCGTGACCGCCGCATCATACCGAAAGTACGCGGGAAGGGGCTATCTTCAGCGGCTATCAATTCCACGGAGTAACTCCTATAGTAAATATCTTCCTAGCCGAGTAACTCACGGACTTACACACTCTCGATGGCCCTGCTTGTTCTCACTGTACTTTATAAGCAGTCCACTGTTGCAAGCCTACAGCAAGAGAAGCACTCATGACCCTACCACGGTGATAAATCGGATTAAACCACTCCTCCCCCTCTCCACGACCGATCGCCGACCATTTGTCAACAGTTACTGCGAGCTCCCCTTCAGTTCTCATCACCCTTACTTGTCTGAGCCTCATTAGAAGAACCAGTAGCTCCGAGACTTTCGCCTCGAGCATTCCCTCCTCAGCTAGCTGCTCCACTTTATCCTGATACTCTTGAGCAAGGCGATCATAGAACGCCTGCTCCGATGGCTCAAGCCGGACGTAGCGAGTTTCCATAACGAGCGGGGGCAAGTGGACATCCTGCTCACGCTCGGCCTTAGTTCGACGTAGTAAAATGTTCCCGAAGATTTTACGCAGCAACTGGAGACTCTGGCGACCTTCCGCAGAGCTGGCACTTCTGAAAGATGGCCCAAAAGCTACTCTATACAAAGGCATCATCAGTAACTCACTTCATCGTGATAGGCCTAGTAATGTACCTCCTGAAGTACGACCAATGACTCCGTCGTGAGTGATGGCATCTTATACAGCGTGTTCGAGCGTCGAACGGACCAAAGTTCAGAGCCTTGCAATCGCATTGAGAACAGAAGTAATGCGAGAAAGGGTCAAGTTTTAGGAACCTACCAGTACGTAATATCCTGACCAAGTCGTGAGCTACAAAATGTTATATCAACATGGACCCCACTCACAGGTCTTTCGTATTGAATGATTCTTAACAACGTCCTAGTGCAGCGATCTCACCTGACCAGGGCATACAAATCCCCTACACGATTCTGGAATGGTGTTCCACTAACAGCCCAGCGAAAGGTAGCATGCAGATTGTATCTGCACATCAAAAACAGCAACAACTGAGAGCCCCAAGGGCACATGTGTACGGACATCGCTTTCGCCGTACTATTGGTACGGCCTTTTATTCTGTGGGCCTCATCCAGAATAATGCGGCCCCATTGAACGCTATGCAACCCGTTGCCTCCCTTCAATGCTCTCCGCTGCTGTCCTGACCATCAAGCCAGTGTGAACACAATGTATGACATCCCCCTATTTCTAATCGCCTATCGACAGACTCAGACGGGATAGCCTACCCAGCACACGCCTCGCCGAGGGGGGTGTACTCCGACGCTTGATGATCGTCTTCTTCACACACGGGCTCAGCTCCATCTTACACTCACTGCTCACCATGGTACTTCTACTGCTACCCCCTTCTAACTTCACCATCGATCTACGCTCTGGTGTCCTGTACTGGTGAGAGTCCATCTCCCTCTTCACCCACTCGCGACACTTCACCGCTATCTTCTCGTTCTTCTTCCTCTGATACTCTTTTATACAGCTAGTATGGTGAGCCGGCAAGGAGCTGAGCTTGAAGCTCCTCTTGCAATACTGGCATACCACCCTTTCGAAAATTGCAGTGAGAGACCGATACTGAGTCTCCAAAGTGTTGTACGAGGTGATGACCACGTCGTATTCCTCCAGCTCGGCCTTCACCGCTTTCTTCGTACCAAGGTACACGTGAACCTTCAACAGCCCCGGCGGAGACACACTCCGTCGTATTTCTTCAACCCATACCACCACAGCTGCCAGGGGGCACACCACCAAGGTCGGCCCCTGGACTTGTGGGCGCCGTTTTATTATAAGGGAGATCATCTGCAGGGTCTTCCCCATGCCCATCTCATCGGCGAGGACCCCACCCCTACAGTCGGCCTCCTCCTCCTGATTGCACATCCAGGCCAGGCCCTCATGTTGGTAGGGTAGGAGACGAGTCACCAACTGAGAGAAAGCCCCACATTGAAATACAGATCTTTGCTAGTCGTCGCTAGCTTTCCGCTTCGTCGGATCGACGATACACTGACGACGTTCATGATACTGTATATCGGGCCTCTGCTTGTCTTTCGTGAGTCAACGAAAGTTTCGCCAGTCCGTTGTGGACTGCAATGGACTAACATATCGTTATCTATTATGCACCTGTTGTGGTCAACATTGAGCCTAGTCTTATCTATAATGAGCCTCTTATCGTCTATGAGTACTCTGATATGGTCTAAAATAAGCCTTATGCTGTCTATAGTTGCTCTACTTTGGCCTACAATCAGCCCTCTATTGTCTATACTCATTCTACTATGGCCTACTACGAATCCACAATTGTCTATAGTTACTCTAATATGGTCTACAATAAGCCATCTGCTGTCTATAGTTGCTCTAATATAGTCTACAATAAGGCCTTTGTTGTCTATAGTAACTCTAATAGGGTTTACAAAAGCCCTCCGCTGTCTATAGTTTCTCTTATATGGTCCACAATAAGCCCTTCGCTGCCTAAAGGTTACTCTAATAAGGTATACAATAATCCCTTTGTTGCCTATGGTTGCTCTACTACGTCTACAATGAGCCCTTTGCTGTCTATAATTACTCTACTGTGGCCTATGATAGACCCTTTGTTGTCTGTAGTTCTCTAATATAATCTAAAATTCGCTCTTCGTTCTCTATTATTACTCTTATATAGTCTACAGTACGCCCACTGTAGTCTAAAAATACTTCAATATGGCCTAGATTATGCCCTTCGTTGGCTATAATGTAATGTTCTACTGTGAGCCTCTCTCCATACACTACAA